AAATGACTCTCGATGTCTTTGGTTGGACTCTTTGCCTTGCCTACTTAGTTTTTCTTTAATTTCACATTTCAGGTCATCTCAAGCTCTACAGTTATATCTGTACACAAGCTTGCATGTTTGTTTCCTTTCCAAGAAACCTCTTCACACGTTTCTCCATTTTAGTCATTCTCCAAGATCGCAATGCGTCTTATACTATTACATTATTCTTTAAGTGCAATTTAATAAACTGTGGGTTTGCTGTCACACTTTCAACCAGTGCCATAAAGGCATGTTTAATGTTTGACAAGACTTTCCATGGCTGCAGGAACTCGGCCAATGCCTACTTCATTCAGAGCTCTTTCATTTTTGAAATCTTCCTGTCTGATATGATTTCTCTGTTCACATCACAGTTCTAAGTTGGTCTCCAAGTGCCCCCTCCACAGCTTTGATGCAAAGATTTGTAAAGAGGTCTATGCTACGCAGAGACTTTATCAACATGTAAACAAAGTCTTTTTAAATATTTAACAGAGATTTACTGTACATACACAGGATTTGCTGAAAATGGTGAAAAAGATGCTGGATGTGTGATAACATAATGAAAACGACCCGATGTGTGCTCAGATCACAGAAGCAATGTTTCACATCAGAGATCAGCAGCTTTTAACCAGACGTAAAAGTTAGCTTTCCCATGTAGTTACTCTCCAACTACTGCCACTTATATCATTATAACCAATGTAAGTAACAACAAAGCATTAGTAAAACCGTAAAATTATTTACAACAAGTTACATTTCAAAGGCAACATAGGTCCTTAGAATTAAAAATTGTGATTAGACTTTTGCCTGGTACATCTTAAAGAAAGCTTTTAAAGTTTCCAATCATCGCTGCCCTTTATATTACAGGGTCTTCCAGTAAAACAGGGGTGCTCACAAATGACATGCACATCTAAATCAGGTTTTTATTTCCAATTAGAGAATAAAAGTCGCTCCATCATCGCAATCTTTGAAGTGTGCTTGAGCTCTCTGGGAGCTAAATTAGGCCATCATACATGAAAGCGTGCTCATCTCTGCCCACATCCGCCGCCATAAAGGAGCGCACTACACAGGCGAAGCCAAAAGCTTGCAGACCCCAATGAGCGGCTAACAAAGTGAAGGACGCCATTTGTATGTATTCAGTTGATAATGAGCGGCCTGCCCGTCAGCGCGGGGCAGAGAAAGGCTCCTCCCAGCAGAGCTAAAGGATGGAAAATTACAGTAACCATGGTGAATGTCCACCTCACTGCCTGCTTTCCTGTCTCTCCACTTCTAAAACCCCATGTGCATCTACTTCAGAGCACACACACACTTGCTAAACTGTCAGGCAGTGATTTCAGCTTCAGGATTAGACAGATTTGGAGTGCTGGCTGCAGATGTTTGCAAGGGAAATGTAGAAAATGGACATGCAAACCAAAGAGGAAACCGGGAAGAACAAACAATAAACAAAGTAGCAAAGCCGAGTGAACTCTACGTGCAGTTTGTGGTCTGATTCTTCAGCATCTTGAACTTGATATCCGAGCAAAGTGATTGCAGGGTCCTCTGCAGACGTCATGAGGAAGGACAGCGATGAAAAGGGGAAGAAACACAAGCTGCAGAGGTGAAAAGTATCTACTGGGTTACAGAACACTGCTACTGTAGATGCAAAGCCCACTGCGCTTGGATTACAGACAACACTCTGTTCTAGCATGGCTGTGCCTGATCATGAAAGAAGGAATAGAAAAATGCAGAGCACAGTTTGTACAGATTTCTTTTGAAGGTGCAATCAAAAAAGGTTATTTGGTTGAAAGCGATTGCCTGAACGAACAATACACCAAAGCTTAAATGCCATTTCATTAAATGTTATACTGGAACTGCAAATGGACTAAAAATAAAAATCACTTTTTACATGTGTTGGCATTCTGTCAAATGAGTTTCTGCTATAAAGGGATAAGGTTTGGGAAAGACATTTTTCTTTTCTTTTTATTATTACTTCTCAAAACAACTAAATGTTAGCAAAATCCAAAGCAATGGTGGAAATGTAAATTCAATACTTAGGCATGGCTGTGCTTTGAGTTAAATGCTGTCATCACAATAATGCCATGTGCAAAAAAATTTAAACTTTTGCAAATACTTGTTGTATTTATTATTTTAACATAGTTTGACGCATATTAGCATTCTTGTAAATAGCAGAGAAAAGTAACAAAATGTATTGGGATTCATCTTCATGATTATCTGTAAAACATTTCAGGGCAATAGCTATTGGACTTATTAGAAAGCGTTACTAAAAATGCAACGTCACATTCAAAATCACAACTATAAAGACCACAACATACATTAACTTCAGCAGCATTAGTTATTATTATCAACGCTCAAATTTGCTGACATGTTTATCAGATGTATCAAGGTTTGTACTGCTCTCTATCAAAGCAGGAACAGAAATGACATGCTCAGAAATTCAACGAAACCCCCGAATCCGCCAAAGTGTTAGACCCCACAACCACTTCTCTGAGGTTGACCTCAATTACATGTTTGTCTGGAGGTTGACATTTTAAAAAGGCTACAGCAGGCAATGACATATGAAAGACCCAGAACTGGGGAGCTGCAGGGGTTTTAAGATGTAAAGAAAGATCAGGAAGCTCCGCTTGAACTTTCACAAATGCATACCTACATCTAGCCACTGCTGCACAACAGTAGGTGCAAGACATGCAGTAAGGTTTTTGTTCAAAATCAGGTTTTTCTGTAATCAGTTACTGTTAGAAAAATATCACTCGTCACCGGCTTGGTCTTCAATATCAGGATACATGTATGTATTATCCTTGCAAGAATGGAAGTAGTCATCACACACAGAGGTTGCATGGGACAAATAAAGTGTCCTTCACATATCTTAAATACAAGAGTATCACAGTCACAAGATGCAGAGTACGGGTCCAAAGCACTATTCTTTGCTTAGTTCAGATTAGCTAAGGCCTGCATAGGCAATAAACATGACAGTCATATGCCTATCTCCATAGAGGCTGAATCATCATGTTAATCGTTGTCACATAGCTATCATATGCCTACTTTCTACCATTTTCGCATTTTCTACCTAAAATGCTTAAAAACTGAAATCAGCCACCGGACACATGGGCCTGTGCTCCAACCTGCTGCAGTGTGTTTATAGATGAATGCACTGTGACAGCGCCTGTCAACAGAAATCCTTGCTCTGCTGCTCTCAGCAGGGTGCTCACCTCCACCCCCAACATATCCATGTTGTTGGCCTACATCCAAATCCCTCAGGTGGCCTATAAGTAAACTCCTAGACTACCTGGGTGGCTTATACTGTTACATAATCCCTGGGCAGATTGGTCACCACTGCATATACCTGGCCAGACGTAGGTTGAGATGTACAACCATATCTTTAATCTGCATGTATGCACTGTGTCTGCGCGGTGCAGCCACATTATACAGGTGAATGGTATTTAAGGCTAGGTAAGTAGTGAGTTATTTTTGCTGTCATTGGACACAAAAACCTCTCAACATGGCTCAGATACTGAACTTGGTCGTCAGCGGGGCGTTTTTCCTGCTGCTCTGATTCTGTTTGTGTAGCAGACGATTGCAAGCCAAGCTTGACAGCGTGAACATCATAAATATGATGTTGCATTTGGTTATGCAGGGTTAAGAGCTATGGTTAAGACGCATAAGCTACATAAACTGGTACTTATATAATTAAACATATTAATCATTTAAACTTCATCATGGATTCATATAGATTTTATTTATTTATTTGATTGTGAAATTTAAAAATAATATAATAATAATACATGGGATTTGTATAGCGCTTTTCCTAATTTTCGAAGACGCTTTACATCAAATCGATACCCACAAGATGGCTCTGCTTCGTAGCATTGTACGGAGCCCCCTAGGGGACATGGAGAAGAAAAAAAGATATTGCAAAACCTTTGCGAGATCTCGCAAAAGTATTGCGAGATCTCGCAATACTTTTCATTTAGCTCAATGTACTTCCTGGTCAGTTCGGCTGCTAAGGCAACACAGAAACCACAACAATGGAGCGGTTCATCGATTTTACTTTGAGCTTGGCCTTAAATATAAAGATATAACATCAGTGCTTGGCAATAGGCACAGGTTTCACACATATACTGTATATATAAAGGGTTTCACATAAGTGAAGACACCTCAAGAGAACACTCAGAGCGAGGGGACGTCCCTCTGAGCTGAGTTATTGACAGATTCGAATTTCGCGGATCAATAACTCATGAACATAACGTTGTAAAAATACAAACAACATGACTTTACAATCATAGCAAGATATACAAAGAACTACAGAGTCGTTTTTATCAGAACAGTTTGACGCGCCGTCATCCGAGCTAAACATCAAGAATTGGTCACAATCTGCAGCTTGAGGAGGGAGAGGAGTGCTTAGGGACCGTCTACAAATTGCAACGGGGTTTTACGAAAACCTTTGCGAGATCTCGCAAAACATTTTTTTTCTTCTTTTGTTCAAATAATTTTTTTTTCTTCTCCATGTCCCCTAGTGGGCTCCGTAGCGTTGCCTTTGGTACGATTAGTTATTTATTTTAACAATTTTTAATTTACACAATTATTTTTGTAGTTTTTAACTCCCATCGAGAAAGAAAAGATAGAGATGATCCATATGATGCCAGCAAGGATCCAATATCATTCGGTGAAATCATTTAAACGAAGCATCTCGGCCTGTCAGGGAGTAGCGCTATTGGCGTTACGTGTCAATATTAAGTGTACAGTGAGTATGGTAATGTTTTACCTGGGAACGTTTTAGTGCAGTGAGTTTACAATTGATTTGTCAGTAAATAATTGCTATATCTCTTTAATACTCAAGACAAACTCCGGTGCCACTGCTGAAGGGGGTTGGCACCAAAGTAAGCAACAATAGTTATCATGGTTTTTATAATACCAAAAATAAACTGCTCACCCCTGCACTAAGGATTCAGTCAATATGGTTTGCAAACATAATATACAATAAGTGTTCCTACCTCCAGTACTAGCCACAACTGGTCTCCACATTTCACATCCTTCTTGTAGTACATCCCGAAGAATTTGACAACATTGGTGTGGTCAGAAAGAGCTTTGAGGATGTTGTACTCTGCTTCGATTTCCTCATCAATATCCTGAAAAACAAGGACACAGATCAGTTAACATAACACAGTTATATTTCTCATGTTTACCAACCATTTGTTTCCTTTTTGTAACACTTTTTACTCAAATAGATACAGTATGAGGATAAAAATGGCAAAAATATCTAGTAATGGTGACTTTAGCATTCTAGATTAAAGAAATTGAAACCACTCCCATGCCTATACTGTGAACTAAGCTTAAGCCAAGAGAAAGGTTATCTTTTCATATCATTAAGACTGAAGACATGGCTTTGACCAAAGGTATTGTAAAAGGATACTTCACTTATAAAGCTCACTAATCATTATGTTGTATTGGGTTTTAAAAACTAAAGGTTCTGTGCTGGTTACAGTCTGCATGCTAAGCTAAGCGTCACCTGGATTTAGCTTCATAAAACGTTTTTAGAGAAGAGAAGGTATTTTATTCATCACCTTGGGGAAATTCAGCTGTAACAGAGTTATTGGTCTTGTTTTCTAACTCTAGCGAAACAAGTGAATAATCACTTTAGAACTGTTGCTGTTCCTTAGGACAACTTGTGAAGTCTCTACCACTGACTCTTGAATTGAATGTGTGTGAAAGGGGCAAATCCAGGAGTTCATAAATATATAAATTATGGGATACTCTTTTACTGTAATTTGCAGCCATACAGTGAGATTCATTCTAACGAGACAGGGGTATTGTACATGGAAATATTGTTGGTGGAAATTCTAATTAAACGTATTCAAAACTAGGTTAACCATAGACGCAAATAATTTGGTGTTACCTTTGACTGTGCAGTTGTAATTGTTCAATAATTGTATATTATGCAAATATAACACAATATTATACAGTTTTTCGCGATTTAAATAAGTTGAAATCAGAATGAAATACAAAAATAACATGACAAATTACATATGACATTTTATTTATGACTAATACTCCACTGCAGTTTTTCCAATCCACCCAAAACAAAGCAGAGAGTCATACAAAGGTAAATGAAAGAGATTGTTCGTTCTTAAGACACCAGAAAGATAAAAACTATCCAGTATTTTTAAAGGAGAAAAAAGTGTTCGAGGGAAAAACGAATACAAGAAAAGGTTTTGTGTTAAAGAAATATGGTTTTGATTCCCTCTCATAACCCCTCAGAGTTGCCTCTGTGCACCAAAAAGAAACAAATCCCAAGTATTCTCCTGAAATGCTATAACCTGAAACTCAGCATAACGTAGCACACAAGGGGACTTTCCACTGTACTTGTAATGAAAGTAATAGGTCTGATACTCAACCTAGTGATTAAAACGATGGTAATGAAGGTGCTCACAGTCTAGTGGTCTGAGGATAATCATTTCTCAATAATGAGAAAGAGTAACAAATGTACAAAAGACTAATGGGACTTTCATAAGCATGAAGGCAGGAATTAATAGAAATTGGCTGCTCATTAGAGCTGCTATTTCAGCCATACAGTTCACTGTACCATCAACATAAACAGAGGTAAATGATGGCTATGCACTATGACAGCAAGGAAATATGAAGTATGAAAGCCAACACTAATGTTTCTTTATCTCAAAATAGTAACCTTTCTTAATTGTAGTACCTCTTGCGCAGTAATGTTCTGTAATTCGTAAATCTTTTCTGCTTCTTGGATCTCAGAAGCAACATGGGGTTATCTGCTCTGTGTCAAAATGTTCTTTCTTTGGGCAAGATTTGCTTCACACACTTATGCATGGGTGCCAAATGGGTTTTGGCTCAGTTCTAAAAACTCTGCACAAGCAAGAGGAGCCCTGCAATGATAAATCCAAGAATTAGTCAGAGGCAATTTGCTAAGATAATGATTGTAGATGGAAGAAACCTCCTTTTCTTAACGCCCTCTGCAGGGAACAGAGCAGAGCACCATGACTTAAATCTAGTATTGGGCTAATGAGTCAGTGACAAGGTGTGTCAGATTTACAAGAGGTCTGTCAAAATACTTTCCAGAACTTTATACACATATTCTTCCTATTAAACTACTCATTCTGAAATCATTTTTCTAAGGATGGGTCAGTTCTTAACTGCTTTTGCTATTATATAATTACTATGTAATGTAACACAAACTCTTGAAATGGTTTGCAAATATTATTGTCATGTCTTGTTTTGAACTGTAGCCAAGAAATAAAAAATGAAGAGAACTCACAAAGATTAAATTAAACTTGAAATACAAATCATATCTTCTGGAACTGTCATATCCATATCACTTAAGAGTGATGTTTGTACATGGTTCAGCATAAATACTTTATATAATGTGCAGTATATATAAATACATATCAGGGCTCGACATTATAAATGGCCCGCTGGCCCGGAAACACTATTTAGACACCCCGGGCCAGCATAACGTACTTTCCACTTGCCCGCTCGGGCCACTAAAAATATTGCTTTAAAAGAAAATTGTCCTGTGGTATTGGTATTTTGACAAGCAATGTTGTTAAATTGTTTCGTTTATTAATGCTACAACATAGCGTTTCGTGAGGCGGTTGTCTATGTTGGGTGAAAAGCAAACAGCTGTTTGCTGCAGAGCAAAACAAATGTTTACTTTCTCGCCACCTAACCATTCGCCAAAATGTTTTTAATACCAGCGGTAACCCCACGCAGCATTCTCATCTGTTTGTCCTTACTGGTGTCATTTTCTGGTTGCTAAAGCCATTGTAACACATAATCACTGATGTTCCGCTGTAACGGTGGTAGACTCATCAGAACAGAGTGGGCGAGCTGACCAATCAGAGCACAGTGGGCTCACAGGGAGGGGGG